AAGCTCTAGAACTTGAAGTTAAAATGCCCTCCCCCCACCCCCCCCACCTGTGTGAGGCAGTCTGTGGAATGGGAAATCTGCAGACCCAAAAACCCAACTTGCAGAATTTGATTTCCTTTTCTTATAGCTTTGCTAACAACGGGAGGAAAATAGTCAAGCAACTTTAGTTAATAGCCCAAATGGCAAATTCCAGAGGCATAGTTCTCCCAAAGTAGGGCATTCTAGAGTAGAAAGTTGAGTCTCTGAATGTGAACTAGAGAAAGAGGTGGGGTCAGAATGCTCAGTTGAAATGCTGGGGTTAATGAGCTTCAGGATAAGACAAGCAACACTTGAGAAGCCAGACTACTTCCTTTTTTGGGAAGACAATTTAGAACAGGAAGGGTCAGAGAAGGAGGGGTATGCCTTTCTCAGCCCAGTGGTTTGTCATCAATTCAGACGAGCAGACCAATTAACTAACATGTGGCATTGCCACCTACTGCCCTACAAGCAGTGTGAATCTCCCTTAGGGTGGAGCTAGCCCTTTTGGAGGAAAGGAAGGAGGGTGGGTTCAGTTCAGAATCAACCCCGGATATGAGCAAGACCTAACTGCACAACTAGAGAGATCATTAATTTGACGGATTCTTCTTGTTAATGACTTTCATATTGCTCTTAGTATTATAAAACCAGTCCTGACTGGCCAGTTTAATTCAGTAAGGTTAGAGGTCTTTCACCTTGATCTGCTGACTGATTCCAGAAGGTGGCGCTGGGGGATTATGCCTCTGCACCATGGCAGCTTTGCCATGGAGTTCCGCAAGGTTCCATTTTATCCCCCATGCTCTTTCACATCTACATGAAACCGCTGGGGGAGGTCATCCAGGGGTTTGGCTGCAGAGTCACCAGTACATTGATGACTCCCAGCTCTACCTCTCCTTTTCATCCAATCCAGGTGAGGCAGTTGCTGTCTTTAACTGGTATCTGGCTGATGTGATGGACTGGATGATGGCTAATAAATTGAGGTTTTATCCTGACAAGATGGAGGTCCTGTTGGTAGGTGGTTTGGCTTTCCAGGTAAGTAATCTTTGTCCTGCCCTAGATGGGGTTGCACTCCCCCTAAAGGACAGGGTGTGCAGTTTGGGAGTGCTTCTCAATCCAGAGCTGTTCCTGGAACTCCAGGTAGCTGCAGTGCCAAGGAGCGCTTTCCTTCAGTTTTGGCTGGTTCATCAAGTGTGCCCGTACCTGGATGAGCAGAGCCTAGCAACGGTGACCCATGCCCTGGTAACCTTCTGGCTGGACTACTGTAACACGTCTCTATGTGGGGCTGCCCTTGAAGATGGCTCAGATACTTCATTTGGTCCAAAACAGAGCAGCCAGGATGTTAACAGGGACCAGCAGATATCCTCACATAACACCAGTACTTTACCATCTACAGAACCTACCAATTTAAGGTGTTGGCGATAACCTATAAAGCCCTAAAGGGTTTGGGACTTGGTTATCTGAAGGAGCATCTCCTTTCCTATGTGCCTGCCCACCCCTTAAGGTCTGGATCGGAGGTTGTTCTTCTGGAGCCCTCTTTGAAAGGGATTAGGAGAGTGGCTATCTGGAGAAGGCCTTCTCTGTGGTGGTGTCCTGGCTGAGGAACATGCTTTGCAGAGAGGTGTGCCTGGTGCAGACACTTTATTCTTGTTGGCACCAGGTGAAAATCTTTTTATTTTCCCATTATTTTGAGACTTAATCTCTATTGTAGTCAGGCTTTTATCATAGATATTATGCTGTGCCTTTGTTGTTAGACTGACCTGAGACATTTATGTATAGGACAGGGTACAAAATTTTTAAATCAATCAACCAATCAATCTGCTGGGAAGGAAAAGGGAGGGAGAGGTGCTCAGGATAATAATCATGTGATTTGGTTCAAGACAGGCAATGGGACATCACACCAGGCATTGCATTTCTTCATCTGATTTTTTGGAGAAACATTTAAGAGTGTAGGCACTCTTTTAAATCTCTTGCTTTCTTAGTCATAAGACACAGTAAATTAGAGTGTGATGTTTTGGCATTTTTCTGAAGTGTTATGTTTAATGGCAGTGTCTGCAAGAAGTCTGCAGGGCTTAGTAACTATAAATTATTTCTGTGGAAATACAAAGAAGGCCTGTAAATCTGAGTCCCTTGCTGGTCTCTTTCTGATAATTAAATATCTTCTTCCCACCCCATAGTCCTCCCTGGCAAGTCCCAGCGCAGCACAGCCAGTATCTGTTCTCTAGGACTGAAAAAAATTAGGAAACACAGTGACTAGATTCAGAGAACACAAGAACTTGCACTCAACGGTTGACTATGGATTGAAACATGGGTTGTTGTTAAGCATATGTTATTGTGCTATCTGAACCCAGCTGTGTTAACAGCCCATAAAGGGCACCCATGGTTTGTTGTTGGGTTGTGAACTGGTCATTCACTATAGTTTGCTAACTTGGCTGCATTCAGACAACATGATAATCCACTGACCCTATTGACAGTACTTGAATGTGGAATATCATGCTCTCTGAACCCAGTTAGTCTGCTCATTTCTCCCAAAGAATTCCACTTCAGAATTTTCTTCCTTGACTGAAGCAGCTCCCATTCACAATCCAGTCTTGTTGTTTACTAAATTTTTGTTGTATCTAAATTGGTAGGCAAGGGTGTAGAGGAAGGGACATTGAGGGTCTTATTGCATGTAATGATGATAAATTGTAGGTTAATGTCTCTTGATTTGCTGTGGTATGCACTGCTATCATTTTACATATGCAGTTTCTGATTGGCCTGATTGATGGTTGTTTCATGATGTTCTTTCCCAGACAGTGTGGATTAAAGAACCTACAGTTAAACTAAGAACAAACAATGGGTTAACTCTGGATTGTTTCACTCTCTAAACTTGTCCAAAAAACAAAGCCACGCTGTGAGAAGTGGTCCAGATAACAGCACACTGTGGCTAGTTATCCATGTTGCATTGTCATGTTGTGTGAAACCAGTAATTTAGATCTTAGTTTCAGGTCCTGAGAAGCAAACATGTTTAATAGTTCCTCTGGCATTACTTCTGCACCGTTGGCATGTAACCCATATGGAATAAACTTGGTTGGGATCCAACTGTGAAGAAATTGAGAAAAAAAATTATATCATTTATTGCTGCTTTTAAATGGACTTTTTACTTCTAGAGTTTAAAGAACATATACTCTTGAGAAAAGAAGTTACATCTATTAATCCATTTAAGCACATATCCAGTTTGGAAGGTGTAATCCCATCCAACACATGCAGATTCCCTTTCTCTTCTGTTTCTTGACTTTGGCTATCTGATTGGCTTCATTCACCATGGCTAGTTGCAGGGTCTTGATTTTGGCTGCCCAGCTGCATAAAGAATTTTCTTTTCGTGTGAATTATTGTTGCATAACAGAATACATTTAGGCTTCATAGACACAGTCATGTTATTTTAGTGATAATCTAGTTAATATATAGTGTTGAACATGTTTAAACATAAATATTTATGATGAGTGTCTGAGTCCCAGTATATTGTTAGGGATTTGGGATTAATCTGAATGACAGGATCACTTTCATTTTCATATTCTGTGACTTCTAGTGATAGGTTTCATTCTGGTGATATGTTGGATGCTAAGATAGCCCCAGAAAGCAAAAGTAATGGTTAGAGATTAGTCATCTTTTGTCCCTAGCAGTAAACAACTGAAGGGGATGACTCAGGTCTATGAATATTCTAGTATTCATTGCAGACTTAATAAGAAAAATACAGAAAACATTGAAGAAAATATTCATTAAAAAAGGCAGTATAGGAGAAATCTGCTAGTCTTCCTGCTGATTCACACAGGTAGCATTGTGAAAACCCAAAGGTGAAAGACATTATCTAAATTCTACTCTAATCCTGTTACAGTGTAGATGCTCCTCCTACATTCCAGAGAGCTTGGGTGGGCAAGACATTGCAGGTGAGCTGCATGCAGCTCTTGCCCCTGTGTCCCCTGCCATCCTCTTGGAATTTAAAAAAAAATATATGTACAGGGAAAAGCATCTGAAACAATTTGGAGTGGCAAAAATGTCAATTCTGTCTTGGGTGCTTTGTAGTGCTTTCTTTTATACCCCCAACATCATTTTTTGAATTGACTGGCTGACTGCAGCTCATGCAGGGCGGTGGTGCAGAATGTGGGGAAGCAACAATTGTCCTGTACCTCTTAAAGTTGCCAGCCCTCCAGTTTTAGGGGTGATATGCCTGTGTGCACCAGCTGCTAGGAATATGGGCAGGATGCTGCTGCTTATGCTCGTATCCTGCTTGTGGGATCCTGAGGACAGCTACTTGGCAACTGTGTGAACAGAGTGCTGGGCTAGATGGACTCTTAGTCCATATCAAATTTTTATTCAGATCTCCTTGATGTTGTGATTGAGGTTCCCTATGAGAGGTTAGGTTAAAGGAATCAAGGGGATCCTGACCACTTTCTGCTGATAGTGTATCAACTCAAAAGCAATCCATATGCTTCCCACACTTTTCTCTTTCCATTATATACCCAGCTTCCATACTTCTATCCTGAAAAATAAAAATGATTTCTTGTGAGGTCCAGACTGGAGAACTATGGTCCAGTTATTATCCTGGTTTCATAACTTGGCTTTAAAACAGTAATTAAAGCACAGTTTTCCAGTTTTGCCATCAAGGAAAGCTAAGTCAGAATAGAAGTGCTGAAGATGGCTCCTTGAAACAAAGAAGGTGAGGAATGAAGAGGAAGCATGTGGGCATTTGGATAATTCTTGACCTGATCAACATGATTCATTTGTCTGAGACCATGAGTTCTGCACTGGACCATTGTCTTTGAATGCTGTTCTCAGATTTTACTTCATTTCTCTAATGTATCATATCCTGGGATTCTTAACAATCTTAGTTAAATTCTTCTTTGTAAGCTATCAGTAGCTTTGTTTCATCTCCAATACTTGGAAGGGGTTTCTCTCAAACTGGAAAAACTCCAAAATCTTAATTACATTAAAAATTGCTTATTTTCCAGTGGCTGTAGAGACTCTGATTTGAGACCCTGCTCGGCACCCTGTAATTAGAAACATAGAAACAGAGCGAGTCAGAAGGGGCCTCCTGGACCATCTAGTCTGACCCCCCCCCCCCATCTCCAGCCAGCTCCACGCATGAAATGCCTTCCATGTGCAACACGTAAGCAATTATCTGTTGTGTCTCTCATTCTGTTAGGCCACCAGTGCTATAAACACTGTCCTACGTGAAGCACAGAGTTAATTCTTCAAGCAAGAATATTAGCTGCATAATTCATCATGCAGTCCAGTTGATACCATCTGAGAGACTTGCTGGCCTGCAGGGATTGGAAGAGGATATGCTGTATTTTGTCTTTAGCACAGTGCTATGAAATGACACAAAGAAGAGTTCTCTCTCTTTGTGATACGCAGTGCAATGCTATACATTGGGTGCTCAAACTTTTTCAACAGGGGGCCCATTGAGTTAGTGGAAGTTACTCAAATCGTACTGTATGTATTTTGAGTCTGTTTTCACTACTGCTTTGCTTTGGAAATTGTTTCCACTGCAAAACTTCTGCATTGGAGCATGTACATCCATACTAAAGGATGGCTTAAGTGAGCATGTGAGAAGGACTTTGCCTTTCCCTCAATCCTGAATAACTGCAATACAATGTTATATATAACATGATGTAATGGGGGGAAAGGTGACTTTTGGGCAGAGGTTAACCCTGGTATCTCTCATTTTGAAAAATACAAATGCCAATGTTTCCCCCTTTCCAGTAGTGTCTTGAGATAACATTACTACTTATAAGGAAACAAACTGTTGGCCAACAATTTAACAGAGATAAAAAAAACTGAGGTATTGTGAGAAACATGCTGTTCAAAATGCAGACTTGCAACTGGCCTTAGGCAGGGATTGCACTCCCACTGCAGGTACAATTTTGCAGGTTGGGCATTTTCCTGGACTTGGCACTAACTGGGGAGACTGAGTTGGCACTAGTCAGAAGTGCATTTCTGTTAGTTTGGTATGCCAAGTTTAGCTCTGTCTGGAAAGGATGGACAACGTTGCTTGAGTTATCCCTGAAGTGACAACATCCAGGCTGGATTACTGTAGTCTAAGAACTTGGTGGCATCAAAATAAATAAATAGAAACAAAATAGTGATATGCTCCTCATTGGGCTGCTCTTAATGGTAGTGGGGAAACCTCAACCAGTACAAAATATGGCTGCTCAGGTACTGGCAGGTACTGGGCTGGAAGTACCCATGTAGCACCTATAATGTACCACTTGTACTGGTTGTCAGTGTGTTGGACCTAGTGTGTTGATATAATTGACGATCGTATCCTCAGGACTTTCTTTCTGAGATGGAACTTACAGGTTTTCTGGGGAGATGTTGCAGAGGCTCCAGACCTTCCAAGTGGAGGGGTGGGACAGAGCAAGAACATGGGAGATTTTGATCCACCACTTGGACTTTGACATTTGGGGTACATCAGTGTTCTTTCCTGTCCCCCATACCTTATAAGTACTCTTATAAGTATAGGGATGACCCACAACACTCCCCTTCATCAGCTAATCCCAGGGGAGTGTTTGAAACCCTGGACATGTATTTGTGTGCTGAATTGGAGATATAAAGCTTACATCTGGTCAGAATGGAACCACTGTGGTTTGGGAAATCAACCAATCTGGATCAAAGTTTATATATGACTTTTGCACAAAGTCAGACTTTCCCTGAATGGCCAGGTACACAGTCTGAATGCTTCTTAGCACTTCGTGTGGAGACAAAGGCAACATCAGCTTCCAGGAGTGCTTTTTTACCAACTTAGGCTGCAGCTGTTAAACTAACCTGGCTAAAGAAGGTTGACCAACCCAAAGTACCACCTGGATCAGATTGCTATAATATTGGGCAGCCTTCTAAGACAGATCTGAAAGTATAACTTGTACAATTCATCAGTTTCAATGCTTGTGGAAACTACTTTGGAAACTAGGCACTTGCATTATTTAACTTTTGTTTTCTATCATTTAAACTGGCTCCTGTTTGCTTCTGGGTTGTAGATCAAGTTGCTGGTTCTAGCCTTTAAAGCTTGTAAGGGTTTGGGAACACATTATTTAAAGGACTATTTGAACCTGCCTGAGCATTAAGATCAGCTTCAGAGACTCTACTCTCTGTCCCATCAGCAAAAGCTATTAGTAGGGCAGGTGCTATGGGCCTTTTAGTTATGAGCCCACACTTCTGAAATGTCTTCCAAGAATATACAAATAGGCTCATCTCTGCTAGCTTGAAAAAAGAATACACACACTTTGAAGACCCCTTTTTACCAGTTTCCATTGGTACATAAAATCATTATCTGCTGCTCTTGCATGCTTCTGTGTTTAGTTGTAATTGTATATTCATGTTTTTATAATGCTGCATGCCAGCTTGTAAGGACAATCTTCCCTGAAAGTGGGATTAAAACTTTTCAAAACAGATAAATTTAAATTGCTGGTAGCTTTAAAGCCTTTAAATAAGCTGGGTCAAGGTTGCTTGCCACCTTTACTCATATCAGTCTTCCCACACTCTGAGATCAGCACTGGAGGCTTTGCTTGTGTGTCTGCCTGTCAGAGCAATTAGGTCATTAGGCACAAGGGATAGAGCCTTCTCAGTAGAGGCCCCTCCTTGTGCAACTCTGTACCAGTTAATATCTTCAGGTCTTATCATTACATGCTTTCAGGTTTGACAGTTGAGTCAAACAGGTGAATCCTCAGGATTTTAGTCCATAATTAAGTTAGGACTCTACCCAGGGTATTATGTATACAGTACTATCTGTTTTTACCTGTTGATTTTGATTTTATCACTGTATTTAACATTGTTTTAAATAAGGTTTTGTATATCATCTCAGAAGGGATTTATTCTAAAGAACAGTCTGTAAATCATTTAAACAAATAGTAAGCCATGCTTCTTTCTAGTGCACAATCCTATTTGGATGCCCATAACCACCTAGATGCAAGAATTACAGGTATCCTATGCAGGGCAGTTGGAGCATGGAGGTGAAGGCTGCTTTTATACTCCCTGCACCCTGTAAAATGCTTACGATAGCTGATTTCAGCCAGCTAAGTGTGGTGCATTGGAGCAGGAAGGAAGAAGGCTGAGGTACTGCCAAAATATCTGGTATCATGGCAGCACCAGTCTCCTCCCCCCTCCCTCCTCTCCTTTCCTTGCTCCCTGGAAAGTGCTCCCCCCAACTCTCTGTGTCATTTTTTCCATGCTGGCTGAGGTGTATGTATGTGGTTGTGGGGGGTAGTCTGCTCTGAACCCCAAACTTAACTATGTCTAGACACTAACTATGTCTATGTCTGAACCCCAAACTTAACTATGTCTAGCAGACATAAAGTTTGCTCTGTTAGAATTTTAGGGATTGTTCTTATTTTTAGAGCTCATTAAGGGATTTTAAGGCCTAAATAATATGTTGTGAAATATGCCTACTGGTTGTACTAATTACCAAAAATTAAAATAAAACATGTTAAAATATAGGATTAATGACTTAGGGAACAGTGTGTTAGACTGAATTTTTTGCTGCATTAAGAAATAACAGCTGCAGTATTGTCTATTGGGAAGAGAATAAATGTTTTTTTTAAATGCTTCCTTAAACATTCATGTAATACGGCTTTTACTTTAAACTGCAATTCATAAATGGTTATGTTGCTTACTGTTAATTCAACCAAAGAATTTCAGAATTTTGTAATTCTTGCTATAAGCATGACTTCATATATTATGTGGTTTAAAAAAACCTGTGCCAATTCAGTGCAGATTCTGCAACAAGGTATGCTGAATTTTGTGACTTGAATACGCTATACAAGCTGAACTGAGTTGCATAGTTTTTTCTTTTTATGCATAATTATGATTTGGGTAGTCATGGGGAGGGCAAGGAGCTATGCAAATCTTTTTGAAGTCCCACTACCAAATATTGGGTTTTTGTTGTCATCATCATCCAGTTATCTTTTTAACTTCTTAAACTTGAGGAAACATTGTGCTCTACTTTCAATTATTATTTTGCAGGCCATAAAGCCTAGAAATGTTATTTCAAAAAAGGCTTTAGTTTTCAGGGCTAAGCTAGTTATGGTACTAAACATCTAAAAGCAATTGACACACTTTCCTAAAGAAGAGAGATAGCTGCTGTGAGGAGCAGCCCTGGCAGAAGCCTGTAGCATACTCAGGCAAATGTTGAGATCCCAAGGGACTCTGTTGTTTCTTAGTTGCTGCCACCTCTGTCCTGACTCTTGCTCATGTTGCCTCTAGCAGATGGCAAGAATGGGGAACACAGCACACAGCACTGAATGGAATGGTGTACCCAAACACCCCAGCACAGCCATATTAATTATGCTAATCCTTGCCCTGATGGGGTTCTGTCACGGCCAGGGCTAGCAGAACAGTAATGGCAATGCCAGCATGTCAGGTGTGCAGACCTGGAGCAGTGTTCACTGCCATCACTGACACTAATGCTGCTGTCACCATACAGCCAGTGGCAGCTCTGTGCAAAGCTGTGAACATACATGCTTGAACTCACTATATTATACTGACTGGTTCCAGCAGAACCACTTTGTGGACGTCAGATGTGATTGAGATGCCATTGAGTTTAGAGGCTGACCTAAAGTTCTGCTCAGCATCACCACCCTGGGCATGCTTGCCATCTGGTGAATTGCAGGAGTCAGCAGGGAGCAGTGGAGGGATCCACCAGGCTCCCAGAAAACTGGATTGGAGCAATATGCACAGGGGTAGAGCATAATTCCTGCCTGAATTACTAGCCAGAGCAAAAATATTTTTTCATGAGTAGTTTTGGTGATGGGTGGTATGACTGTGCAGTTCTTAACAAGCCTTTATGTAACTTCTAGTGATACTTAAATTCTGGATTTTCATTTAAGAAAGCAACATATAGCTTCAGTGACTGAGAAGATAAAATGCAAAATCGGAAAAAAATGTATTAAGAGATTCTGGCAGAGGACAGATCTCCTCCCACCATTTATTAATTTTTAAGCTTATATTAGTAATGACTTTCAAGGCCTAATTTGTTGTGTGAACAATTAGGCTTAACTATAATTGGTAAAGGTGGGATCAGTGGTCATCTGTACCAGCTGGTGAAATGGAGTCCATTTTCCACATTAGTGGAAATGGTTAATTATGTGCAAAAAACATGAGCTGGAGGCCTGCAGT